TTCCAAGCGTGATTTAACCCGCGCTGAGTTGCAGGACGTCGTGCGTGGTCGATATGCCACGCTCAAGGTCAGCGAGATGAGGGAGCGAGGGAGCGGGGGAGCGAGGGAGCGAGGGTCGGCAGCTGCGACGCCGGCGGTTTCTGCCAACCCCCATGATTTTGTTGTGGGCCGTGGTTTTGGACGCGGCGGCAGCGGGGGGAGCGGGGGGGACGGAGGCCAGCGGTGGAATGGCAACAACGGCGACGGCCGCGGGCAACACTGGTCCTCTGGGGGCGATGTTGTCCAATAGCAACAGCCGCAGTTGCAGGTGCAGCAGTACCGGCAGCCGCAACAGCCGTACCAGCAGCCGCAGCGGCAGATGCAACAGTCGTACCAACAGCCGCATGCGACAGCAACAGCCGTACCAACAGTCGCAGATGCAGCCGTACCGGCAGCCGCAGCAGCAGCCGTAGCAGCAGCGGCAGCAGCAACAGCCCGCTATGAACGGTGTTGGTGGCATCCACGATTGCGGTTGTTATGCTGTGTATCATCAGCCAGAACCACCACCTCCAACAGGCGCGCCGATGGGCACAGTGCACAGATGCGGCCGGTGTGAGAGGCACGGTCACCACGCCACAGATTGCGTCGCCCCCCGCAGGTTCGAGGGCACGTGCGGTGCGTGCGGCCAGTACGGCCACATGTGGCGCAATTGTATCAAGAGCAAACGGCACCCCCACCTCAACGTCGTCAATTCCGCTGGTGCTCTCCGTCCAGAGTACGCGAGCACCACCGCGGATGCATCGGTCGTCAAATTTCTTGATGTCCCGGCGGCTGATGGCACATACTACAGTGACACCATGCAGACCGGCGCTGGTGGCGGCGGCAGCGGTGGTGATGGTGCTGGCGGTGGAGGCAGCGGCGGTGGCGGTGGCGGCGGTGGCAGTGGGGCGATCGTGCAGCAGCAGGTCGTGACACCGGGCGAGCCCTACTTAAATTTTGTCGACATTTTCCACGACGGCGGCGGCGTGGAAGGTGAAAATGGCGGCGGCAGCGGTGGTGGTGACGCGGCCGGAGCGGGCCCTGAGGCGCTTGGCGACGGCGAGGGTACCTTCGGTGGCGGCCTCTTCGCGATGCACCTTGTCTGTCCCGCTACCTCATTCCCCCCGTCGTGCGCGAAACATCCGACCTTTCCCACATCGCCCGGGTTCGACGGTCTTCCTCGGAGACACCGGCGCCGTAGTCCACGTGGTCGCTTCCGGGGTAAAGGTGTACAACATGCGCCCGCCGCTCCCGGAGGAGCGACTACCCATGCTTGGCGACGGCAAGCACATCCCGGTAGTGTTCTTCGGTGACTTGGAGGCGATCTTCCACTGCCCTGAGGATATGCGCGTCACCCTGGAAAATGCTGGTGTGGTGACGGTTTTGGCGCTAGATATTCTACCGCTCAACAAGATCCAGGATCCCCACGAGATCAAGCTTAACCGGCATGGAGCATCGATCTTGGGGGTGCGGGTGCGCATGACAAACCCCTCACGGGAATTACATCCAGGGGACTCGCGTTGATCCATTGCCTCGACGCGACTCGCCTCCTCAGCAACCCGCGATGGTTGCGGCGATGCTACGGCCTGACTCGCAATCCAGCATGGACTACAACGCTCTTCACCGCTCCCTCGGTCATGCCAGTTCCAAGACGCTGTACGAGACCGCCAAGCAGATGGGCATCAAGGTGACCGGCACTCCGGAGTACTGCGATGGATGTGCGGAATCGAAGGCGATCCAGCGCTCGGTCCCCATGGTCATCTCCCCCTCCCGCCGGACGACGCGGCCTCTTGAGCGTGTCGCCATGGACCTAGCCGGTCCGTTTGGCCAATCTAGCGGCGGTGCCAAGTACGTGATGCAGATCCTGGACCACCACACCAACTACGGATGGATTTGCTTTCTGCGGGAGAAGAGCGGTGCAAACGTGGTGGCGGCCTTTCGTGCGTGGTATGTCTCCATCAAGTCGCTCTTTGCTACTCACGGGGGGCTGGGCTGTGTTTTGACCGACAACGGCACCGAGTGGGTCAACGCGGAGTTTCGGGGACTACCGTCGGAGAGATTTCACTCCCCCCAGTCTAGTGTTGTATGAGATTCGACTACAGGATAAGAATCGACCGTAATGCGGGCTAATCAGTAGCCGTCGCAGTGTGGAGTAGACATGTTGAATGAAGTACACAATCGGCGAAGTTGGGTTAGGGTTAAGAGTTGCAGGGAAAAGGGTGTACATTCCCTTTCCCTGTTATTTTTCCCCAATAACTTATCAACCTCGCGAAGGCGGTCCGGACTAATACCCAGAGGACAGTGCGGGAGATGTATGTAACTCCTGATGGAAGGATAAAGAAATGTTCAGGAACCCACATGTAAATGGTCCGCCCCCACTCTCTCAGTCTACTGCAAAGCCAGGAAACAGCAATCACTGCTGTCCCACATGAGGAGTTAGTATCAAGTGAGCACTTTGTGACGGGTCGTTCAGATTGCTCAGCGTGTGGTAATATTTCCGTTTACAGTAGACCGCCCTTCAAGCTCGATTGCTCCACAACCAAGTGGGTGAGGAAAGAGCCCGTTACAGCTACGGAAATTGCTCCATGAGATGTTTCCAAAACTCCAATTTTTTTTCGTTGGCACGATCTTGGTTGTCGGGCAATCGAGCTTTGAAAATGGGTCTACATTAGGGGAGGGGCTGTCTCTCCAGCTCTTAAGGCAGACCTGCCGGGGCGCCGACACCCACTATTGGTTCACCAGGCAGTGGGGAGTGACATTTTTTTAACCATTCAAAGCCTGCTTCTCTCGTTTGGTTTGCGGCGCCTTGCACCCTCTCACCGCGAGCTGCTATGAACGGTTGTTTTTCATTCATACGCGAGTCAGTTGGGTTAGTACGGATGAATAGTAGAAGGTGGTACTGACTAGCGACCAGCACGACTTTCAAGTGTGAAGACAATAACAGTAACAACAACACTTCTAAAGCATAATTGGCAAGCACTTTCCCACCCACCCCACCCCCATCCGCGTCGCCCCCCAACCCACTGCACCCCCAATCCATTCCAATGGCTGGGATTGCAGCACAGCAGCGCCCCAAGAACTGCTCGTGGCCCTTGATGAGCTCGTTACGACCAATATTTGCTGCGATAAAAGCTGATGTTCGTGGTGTATATGGGCCCTGGTCGTGTTGTCCAGGCACCGCAATGAGATGTGAAGTGGTTTGGCCTTCTCACGAGCCGTCTCCTCGAAGCAAATGTTCGAGTACTCTACCCGATTTTGGTCCTGAGGAACGGGTGGGCATACCCATTGTTGTTAGTTTCCCCTAAAATGAAATCGACCAAACATGCTTCAATACTAGATAGAGCCATTTGTTACGGTGTTTTCTTGTTCGATACTTCCCCCGAAGGGACGACCCAAAACGGGGATGTACAAGTGATGACCCCTTTCTTACGGTCCTGGTCGACCCTTTTTTTTTCCCTTCCGAGTCATCGACCGAAAAAAAGAGACCCTGCAACGGGCGTTCGTCACATATACATAAACCTTCCACCGCTTTGGTGTTTCGGTGATGTCTCCGCACGGAGTGAAGCAGCAGCAAGTGAAAGCTATACCCCGCGAGTTGTGTGCATGGTCCGTCTTGGGCGGTGGCTTATACAGACCACAGGGCGATTGGAGGCACATAAACTGAGGAAGCGAGAGTCCACAGCACGCTGGAAGAATATCCACCGCGCCAGTAACCAGTTTACTGTTGCTCTTTCACCCGTGTCCCAAGGTACTGGGTAGAGAGAGATCGGAACTGATTGTAGTGTCAAGACAACAGCAACAACAAAAACAATAACAGCAACAACTTTGGGTTATCGATGCTCCCTCGCCACTCCCTCCAGTAACAGAAAGGTATCCGCCATGACCTGTGTGTATGGTCCGGCTTGTGTGGTAGTTGATACAGATCAGGAGGCTGAAGGACGCTCAAACGTTGTGAGCGCGAGAGTCGTGAACAAGTGGGAAAAATGACCCACCTCGTCTTCACGCAGTTTTCTTTGCTCTTTCGCCCCTGTCGCAACTTTGGTTTATCGACGCTCCCTCGCCACCCACTCCAGCAACAGCGATGACGAAGGTACCCGCAGTGAGCTGCACGTATGGCCCGTCTTGTGTGGTGGTTGACACAGACCAGGAGGATATAGGGCGCCCAGAAGTTGGGTTCGCAAGAGTTGACAGCACACCAAAACGTGGGCTGCGTCCAGTCTCTCGGCTAGTTTGCCGCTTGTTGGACGCGCACGTTGGGTTGTCCATCTGGTCCAGCCGAATAAAGAAACATTGCTACCGCTGATGCTACCG